GCCCAAGTGTCCATCATGAGTGGAAAAAACAACTATGACACAATGGAATACTACTTGTTGGTAAAAAAGATGAAAATTTTACCCTTTGTGACAGTATGTGTGGACCTAGAGAACATTATGCTAAGTGAAATAAGCCAGTCAGAGAAAAGACAAATACCATATTTCACTCGTATGTGGAATTTAATGAACAAACTGAAGTAACAAGCGAAATAGAGCCTTGTAGATCGAGAGCCGGATGACAGCTAAGGTAGGAGGAGTTTAGAGGGTGGAGGGATTGAGCAAAACAGGAAGGATTCATGGATGTGGACAACAGTGGGGTGATTGTAGGGGGAGGGAGGTGTAAGGGGAGTAAATGGTAATGGAAAAAATACAATTATTTTTTTTTTAAATTGAGAGATGGTCTCAATTTCTAATGTCTTTGCTCACTGTGACATTATTCTCTCCTCTGTGCCCAGGCAGAGGTCAGAAATGAGGTCAAAATGTCTATTTGTGGCCTAAGAGACTTTTGGTCCCTTGATAAACAAGCCTGCCACAAACAGAGGACAGGGTCCATGGGGAAAGCCACAGCACAGTGGGGACATATATCTGTACCACTTCCTCTTGCTCAGTGTAAAGTAGCTATAAAGTAAATATCAAATGTTCAAATATTAAAATCAATACTTCACGCATGTGTTCAGTTCATTTAATGTTATTTTACTATATATCTAGATTTTGATGCCCTTATTTCCCTTTTCTGAGATTCTAGAATAAAACCTATGTGATTTTAAGACTGATGCTAATAATGTCTTACAATGTGTGCCATAGGGATATATAATAAAGGCTTCACAGTAACTACATTGTACTCAAAGACTTTTATTTTTCTTTTATTAGCTCTACTCTCTGACATCTTGGGGAATGTGGTATTTAGTATAAATGGAGTCTCCAAATAACTGATGTTTAATATCGCAAGCACCAAAATATTAAAAAACAAAAAATATGGGAACTTTACCAAAATATTGCACATTTCCCTGCCATTAAAAAAGAAATCCCAAATATTAACTGTTCCATGCTGACTTAGGGCTCTCCCTATGGACATCCGTTATTTGGATGTCCTATCTGGTCATGCCAGAGGTCTGAGGGGCACTCATGCAGCCTCAGATGATATGGGACCTGAGGCTACGTGCACGATGACTTGGGCTGTGACATTGCAATTTATATTCTTGCAAACCAAACCAAATCCCAAAGCAGCTGATATCTGAGCTTTCCCCTCTTTCCCCCCCGCTTTTTTTTCAGGGGGTGGGGGAGATAAATGATGTTTATTCATTCTCCATTTGTATAACCAGAGTCTGGAAGACTCGTTCACAATTATAAAACAGATACTCCTTTTCATAATGGAATAATGAAACTTATGTAGCTGTCTAATTTTGGGGGGAAGTGTAAAATACTTATCTTTAGGAAATATCCATTAGTGATAGAAAAGGTAAAACAGCCTCGTTCCCACCTGTTATCTACTTTATCACTGATGCTATAATTTTCTTTCAATATCACTGCTATAGATCACTTTCACCTAACTTTTAGTTTGCATTTGCTCTTCAGCCTTACTTGTTCATGATTTGCTCATGGCGTATGGAGGATTACTCTCCAATCATTTGATGGTGTGTATGTTGTTTGGAAAGGACTTGCTTCAAAGCTTACACATTTGTTAATTACCAGGAAATAAATGCTCCCCTAGATATAAATATAAATAAGTCCTGCAGAATGTTTGATATTTGTACAGAACTTTGCACGTATGTTTTTAGAGGTATGAACAGGTGAAAAGTTTTGTTTTAGTATCAGTATAATATGCTAGTTTATAGACTCCATCAGAGAGGGAACCTAAAGTGCCCCCTCTATACTGCTTGTTTTCACAGACTATTATTCTGAAATTGTTGCATTTCTTAAATCTGTCTCCTCCATTAGCGTTAGAGCTTTTTACGAGCTTAGACCATATCCTAACCTTGTTTGAACCCAGCCCTTGTGTTCTTATGGAGCTGCATAATCTCCAGGAAAGTGTAAAATGGTTGCCTTCATGAAAAATCAATTAGTGAATGAAAATCTAACACAGCCTCACGCCTAGCACTCCATTTTTGTTTTCTTGCACATCTTGACCTTTCACTCCTGCGTTACCCTGAATCCCTCTAAACCGGTTTTCTCATAGCTGATGAACCCAGTGAAAACCAGGACCTCTTTTACCTCTGCTGTTGAGTCTTGCATGTGGACTTTTAGTAAATGTTTACAATGAACATTGGCAGGACAGAAGACGGTTATTTTCAGGAAAGTAACTCCCTTGTGTTGACCTCCATAATTGGTTAGCAACAGGGTAATTTTCATATTCCCTGATAAGCCCAGGATTCTAACATGTTTTTAAATTTAAATTTTAAAAAGACAGTAAAAACAAGAAAGAAACAATTCATTACTGCATTATGTCACACTATCTGGCAATAAGCAAATGTATAAAAATGTCTGAAATCTCTAGAATGATAAAAAATTTCCAATTGATAGTGTTTTATGGAAACCCAGAGCTTTAATATATTTAAGTGGTTAACTTCTCGTCATTCTGCTTAAACTTTGGGAAAAAAGAGGTAGAAACTTGATTCACTGGTATTTGTTGAGTAGAAAATAGCAAACATCTTTATAATAGCCCAATTTCATCAGTTTTCTAAATTACTCAAAGATTATGCTCAGAAATAAATTCTCTGAATAACATTATACATTTTTTAATGCAGCTTGCTTAGTTTTTTCCTAGCTCCTTCCACCTATCATATGACCTTTTTATTTCCTATTAAACAACCTTTAAGATATTTTCCCACTTAAATCATTTTTTGTACTGGTATAGTTTGTTCTTCTTCTTGCTCAGTTGGTTAGCATGTCACCCCTATACAGCAAGCTTGAGGGTTCAATCCCCAGTCAGGGCACATACAGAAGGCAACCAATGAATTCATGAATAAGTGGAACAACATACTGATGTTTCTCTCTCTCCCTGATCATTGTCAATTTCCTGGTTTTAACTTCTTAATAAAACTTAAGGTGTTACCAATGGGGGAGGCTGGGTGAAGGGTAAATGGGACTCGGTACAATCTTTGCAACTTTTTGTAACCCTGTAATTATTTCAGAATAAAATTGTTTTTAAAAAGGAAAGTAGGATGAATGCCTAAGGCTGGTATTTGGGGAGCCAAGCAAGAGCAACATGGAGAGGTCAATGGGGGCTAAGAAATATTTGTAATTTAACCTACAAAAAGCTTAAACTTGCTCCTCCCAACACTTCTGCTGTTATCACCTCGATTGCGCTCTTTATTCAGTTTCACGTTAGACCATTGTTTTTCTATTGTTTCTTAGTTATGGTGCCGAGCAGAGAATTAGACCTAGTCCTAATGACAAACCAATAAATCTTAGACCTTTGAGTATCATCTCCAAGACTTCAATCCTTTTCAGTTATTAGTTTTCCTGTTACCTAATATTCAGTGTCTGCTGCTTTGTTGCCAGAGGTGCTTTTCATTTTCACATCTGATTTTGATGCTGTTGCAGATGCTAGAATTTGCCAGAAGGCTGTCCTCTAGATAATTCTCTTGTTCTAGCTGGAATCATTGTTTTGTTGCAATTAACATTCAGAATATGCACTGTCATGTTATTAAAAAAATATATTTTTTAATGGAGAAAGTACATGGAGAGTTGATTGTGGAGCTGTAGTTTATCCTTATTCTTCTTAGCTACCTGTGTCTAAATTAAGTTAAACCTCTGGAGGGTCTTTGGATCTTTCTAACTAGGCATCCTGATTATAAAGGTTAGTGCTTGGAGGTACACTAACCTTGCAGACACTAACCTAATTCAGCGCCATCACAAGTGCATGATGCTGGAGTTTGGAATTTTGCCAAAAAGCACTATTCGAATGAACATTCAGTTGGCAAGGGGCAGGAAGGTGGGTGTGAACAAGGAAAGAACTCCAGAAATGGTTATACAGATATTTTAACGGCTTTCCTCTCCCCTCAGAAGATATGTTTAAGTATTGGAGAGACATTCTAAATAAATCTTAAGGCTATTATGAAGAAACAGTAATGAAGGCATTTCTCCCTATGGTATGTTGCTGATGCTCATAATCACTTATATCACTGAACATCTTTTATGCCACAAGGCCGACCCTGTGCTAGGGTGGGACATAAAGATGAGTAATTGTAAACTATTCAACAGTATGCACAGGGACCTCAGGGTGCCTCTCAAGTGTCAGTTGAATGAAGGCACCATTACGGAGGTCACAGTTTGGCTAAGGTCACTTAAAGGGCCTCCAAGGGATGAGACTTAATTGTGCAATTCCAGCATTACATAGATTACCAAGTCTTTGTCATACAGACTGAAAAGTTTTGGGCCCCAGGTGAAGTGAACGGAAAATACCATGTAAGAACTTGCGCAATAGGATCCACAGCCGCATCTCTTCATCTTTATGCTCACACTCTGCATCTCAGTTTACAGACACTAAAGGGGGTTTGCTAGTTTCAAGGGCGCAAAGCTGCAGCTTCCGGAAAAGGTGGCATTTGGGGTGGTGGAGGCTAACGATTGGAGGTAGTGTGGGAAGGGCTAGGTGAGGGAGGAGAAACGAAAAAGACAAAAAATTCTGGCGGGTAACCTTTAACCTACGTCGCCGCCCCTTCCTTTTCCCAGGGCCTGAAACGAGAACGACCCCGAGTCCTCCATGTCTCCGCACGCTAGGCACTGATCAAGGGTTGAAGGCGGACCTCCAGTTAAACAACTTTCCACAGTTCCGATCTTTTTCACACTGCTATTTTCCCAGGCCCAACCCAGGAGACCTGTGGCTCGGGATCAGCTCCCCCCGCGCTGGGCTGGTGACACGCAGGCGCCGGAATCGAAGCCACGCTAGGGCTTCCCAGCTGGGTCCCGGGGCCAGGGAGGGTTGGCGTAGCGGAGCGCTCTCCGAGTGCGGGGCTTCCCATAATGCACCGCGCTGGCAGTGGCGGCGACCGCGGCGGCGCTCTAGCCGCGGCATGTCTGCGTCTCTACTGCTCTGGGAGGAGGAAGAGAAGGAGGAAGAGGAGGAGGAGGGGGAGGAAGAGGAGAAAGGCGCAGGGTTGGGAGCAGTTGCCGAAGCTGCTACAGCAAAAGTTCTCCCCCCTCCTCCCTTCCCCTCTTCGCAAGGTCCCTAGAAAGGTTGGAGCTGCTGTCGTCTACAGTCGGTGACCAAGCGACTCGGCGCTCGCCCGCGGTAAAGCGCTCGGCCTGGCAGGCCCGGGCCCGGGGGAGGGCGGGGGAGGGGGAGGGGGTGGCGCGCGGGGGGAGCGCGCGGCGGTAAGGGCCTGACCCCGGGGGGAGCGAGCCGTGGCGACGCTGGGGGTGGCCGGGGGACCGGCGGAGGCCGAGGGAAACGCAGGAGCAGGCTGGGGGGACGGGAGGAAGCAGGGCGCGGATGGTGGGTTGGGGGATTGAGAAAGGATAATGCCGGGGGTGGCAGAGGCGACCAGGCGGCCTCCGAGGCCTGACGAAGGTGTCAGAGGTAGGGAAGAAGGTGGAATGTTTGCACGGGGAGGCCAGAGGGTACTCAGTGTGGGTGTGAAAAGGCTAGGGAGACACCGGGTCTCTGTCCACTGTGCCTGGTGCAGTGCTTTATGCACCGCAGGCCTCAGTCAGTGTTGCTGCCTGAGTGTTCTTGGGGAGAAGGAAGGGCAAGGGATTGGAGAAAAGGGAATCCTTGCAGGAAATCTAGTGGGAGTGTGTACAACGAGAGCGGCTGGGGGGAAAGAATGCCCGATAGGTGGAGGAATGCAGGGGGTGGCTGTGAAGAAGTCTTGAGGATTCTGGGAGGGTTTCATTGTGCAGATATATTAGGTACTTCGTTATGGAAAAAACTGAAGCGTATCTGAGGAAAAGGAAAGGAGGAATATAAGGAGTTTCCGTGCTGGAAAGAAGAGCCTTTGAAGCAAGAGAGAGTGTTAATATTAGAGAATATGAAGAGAATGCATGATAGAATAGACAGTATAGTAGAATTAATAAATGCTGGCCTAAGGACTAAAGAGTTATTCCAGATGGGCCAGGGTGGCCTAGTTCTGAACCTGTTTAGGCTCTACGGTAGGTGACATCTGGTAAGTGTGGGTCCCGGCGGTGGTTGGGGTCATTCAGAATTAGATCTTAGCCTGTAGTCTGGTCTCAGACATTTTAGACCTGCACCAGTGAATGCGAGAATCTCTGAAACAGATCTTAAGGAAACACCTGGCCCACAGGTATTCTCTAGACCATGGAGTTTAGATTTTTTGCAAATTTGAAGTATTATTACTTACCAGAGGCTGGACGAACACTATCTTGGCAAATGTTGGAATGGAAATTACTTGACTTAGCGGTTTTCTTCTTCACTGCTCAGCTTAACTGGTCCAGGAGAACTGGTGCCATATTATTCAGCCTGGATTGCAGTACACAGGGTTATAATTAATGGTGGGGGGATTCCATGCATGGTGGCCCTTTGGTGGCTCCATTTGTAGCTCAGATTAGTGTAATTGACTGGATTGGTTCCATAACTGGGGTCGGTGGCAGACCTTTTGCCATTCACAGTTCCTGAATGTCTATTCTCACTGAGGCATGGTGGTATTGAAGAACATGCATCAGCCTACAAAGTGTAGGCCAGCAGACTGAAGGATCTAGAATATCTATTTTGGTCTTAGGTTGCAAGGTCAGGACTGGTTGCTTTGAAGTCTAGGGGAACCTGAAAAGACTGGGTGATTCTAAATCCAGGTTGTAGGGAGTATGAGCATTTTTACATCAGGAAATGAGCCAGGACCTATTGGATTTGCTGCTGAATTCACACCAGACCTGATTTCAGTAGAGAAGTCTGTGGTAGAACCATATCCTTAAACCTTTATTCACTTTCTGAATCAGCTTTATTCACCTGGAAATTGGTTATTAACGAAGACTCTTAGACACATTACACTATAATATCAGTTCAGCTGAGGAGTGGGCAGTATGAAAATCCTTTTATGGAAGTAGAGGTTGGTTGGAGGGATAAATGGGGGGGATGGAAAGAAATTTGAGAGAGGAATGGAAAAATTCAGTCATTCATTTAACAATGATCTCTAAAGGAGGATAATAGTTTAGCGTTGTAGTGGAGAGGGGCCTTTAGTAAATTTATAGAAGTAATCCAGGTTATTTTTTTAAAATTTGGAAAACTCAGTACATTATATATTACTGTAAGATGATTAAATATTTTACATTTTTATTATCATAGTATGAGAGGGTGTGTTTTTCTTCTCCCTCACTGGCACTGAGTAGTATCAGGTTTTTTAAAAAAAAAACTTTGTAAGTTTATGGACTTAAATATAGTATGTCATTGTTTTTCTCCCCTTTTTAAGTTATGTGAAATAATACATGTGCATAATTAAAAAATGAAATTGTACTGAGGGAGCTTATAATGAAAAGCAATAGCCCCTGTCTCACTTGTTCAATTGTAGTTCCTCTTTCCAGACTCTACTATTTCTAAGCATTAATTTTTCTAGTTCTTATCATGCTATTCTCGAGGTCCAAAAATAATTAGAATGTACCGTTATTTTCTGGATGATTAAAATGACATTATGAACTAGTCAAAAGACTTCTCACTATGAATGAAAAGGATTTATGTCACTGGCATTGTCCCCTTTCTGCTTCTCCTTTCCAGCCTTTGAGAGTTACTATTTTAACTTTTTTATTCTTTGTTTTTATACCTTTAATATGCTTAAAGAGAAAGCATTTAGAATTAGACTGGAAATACTGGGTGAGATGATACAGGGAAGTTTGATGGATGGACCTATAAAGAAAGAGTAGGTTGTAGAAATAGCGTCTTTGCAGCGTAAGGGTTGCTTGTTAGAGATGAGGATTGCTTGGCAATGATAGTTGTTGGTCTTGGAATTAGTCACCAGGTCAACTGCGCAGTAGTATTCTTTGACAGTGTTCTGGAGAGTTTTAGTGTGGTGAATCTGGGAATGAAATCAAATGACCCTTAATTGTTCTTTCCATGCTTCTATGGCAGGTTTTCAGGAAGGAAGGATTGGTGTGGATGTTTCATTTTTTTGTGGAAGGAGGGATGAGGAAATGTGATGAGGCGGAACGAGGCTTAGGGACAGGGTAAGAGCAGGTGGTGGTAGATTTGTGGGAGGGTGTAGAAAAGGTAAAGAATTCTGAGGACATTTGGATACAGTTGACATGAAGGAGATTTAAATTAACAGCAGTGAGACTGAAATTTGTGGAAGTTATAAGGATATTAGCATATTTAAGCCACAAATATGTTGCTTATATGGTGTAAAGAGGTGTGTTGCCTATATATTAGGATAGATTCATAAAATATTGGTTTTTGGAATTTGTGTATGAGGTGCAACATTACCAAGTCAGTGTGACTGAGACTGAGAGACTAGAAAGATCTTGCTCCTGTTTTAGGAAGTCTTGTTTAAGTAACCCCACCTCTTGAGTTCTTTCTTATTCTGAATAAAAACAGCATTTACATGCTGCTAAATCTTGTCTTTGCTTATGGGAATTAGTCTCTGCTGTGCGAAAGGTGGCTGTTGTAACCTGCTCTAGAGCAGAGACTGACTTTAATCTCTGGGGACACTCACAACAGCTTGATTCTTCAGTGCTTAATAAAATACCTGTTGAATGACTAATAGAAAGTAGCATTCACTGCTTTAGTAATAAATAGTGGGAATATGTGAAATTGCTGAACACTCTGGGGGTATTTCAGACAAAATGCGTGTGTATGTGTGTGTGTGTGACAAAATGCATGTGAGAGAGAGAGAGAGAGAGAGAAAGAAAGAAAGAAAGAGAGAAAGAAAGAAAGAGAGAAAGAAACCACACACACAAAAGAGATATCCTAGTGGGCAAGGCCTTTAGATTTAAGGGAAGAAATACAGAGTGGATTAGAATGGATCTGTAACAGTCCTACAAAAACACTGAAGAGGTGGGACCAAAGGTTCTAGTCTAGTCAGAGGCTAGTTTAATCTGAGGAAATCTGGTCTGGGGCTGGGGCTCCTTTAATTTGGATTTTCTTACCCTGAGGCCTAAGTGACAGCTTAGAGATTTTTAGCTATTTTAAGAATCTGATTTGACTTAATTCATTTTTAAGATAAAAAGAAGTGTGAGATGAAGTTTCTTCTCTCAAGGAATTTATAATACTTATATTGTTTTAGGGAGAGAAAGTTTGAATGAATTCAGTAATAGTGTAAGAGTACAGAAATTGATTTTTTAAAAGAAATATCAAAAGTATACCTTCGATGAGAATTTTTATATTTTGATAGTCATTTTCAGAGTCGTGTTCAGAACTTTTTTAGAACACCTTTTCTGAATACCTCCTGAGCCTCTTAGCACATTCTATACAATTTACCTATTTACTGAGTACCTATTGTCTGTTGTTGGGGGAGGGATCCTTTAAAGGTGAGTAAAACATGGTCCTTATCCTCTTGGAGTTCATAATCCCTCCAGGATGGCACAGTTGCAAATAATATAAGGCATACTGTTATTCCGAATAGTCTCATTGGTGACAGATATTTTTAATTTGAAAGATTGATTTTTAGAAATGCTGAAGATCCATTGATATCAGTAGAGTGAACAAAGAACTGTTTTAGTTTAAATGCACTAAGTCACAGAAATGGGAGTGGTATATATATATATTTTTTGGTTGACTTACTAACCGACTTTGGAAAACACTACTAAAAAGGAAGTGGGAGATATTTTGAATGTTGGTGACAGTTCACATCTAGTTAGTTAGGCACTAGATGAATGTTGATTAAATGCATCAGATAGTTGGATGAGTGGAGTGAATAAATGAGTAAGCAGTAGCCTACCAAGGTAAATATTTTAAAGAGGACCACACTGATTTTACTATGTACAAGTAAATAAATTCAGGTTATGTTTGTTAATAGTGTTGTTACTGTGAACAAGACAGTTTATCATTAAGTTCCCAAATGAGTTTTACAGACAGTAAGTGCTTTAGGAGTTCAGAGAATGGAGAAATGAATATTGGCTAAGGTTTGGGGAAAGGGGTTGCAGTGTACCATACTTTAGCTAGATATTTGAAAGGATTCCTTAGGGATCTCAGGAGAGAAACTAAATTGCTCCAAATTTCTCTTGCAGCCCTGGAATAAACTTAGAGTCCTAATCTATTTTTGTCTGAATGCTTTCTGCCTTTTTCATTTTAGCTACTCCTGCTGGTTTGTTCCTTTTCAAATCCACTTTACTGGGTAGATTTTGAGCACT